TTTTGGAGAAAGGAAAGCATAGGTCAGGGGGGGGATGTGGCACTCCTCTCCACCTACCTCTGTAGATTTTAAATTGCCCCTCTACACAACTTTATAGGAAAGTTGGCACACAAGTAAAGGATGGGTTTGTCCCTAAAAACATCTCCAAGGAGTTGGCTTGATAAGGGTAACGGAGTAAACATGCATTGGAAAACAAAAGCAGATATTAACATTAACATCAGACAAATGTTCCTATTTCTTAATTTTCAGGGTTTTATTAAAAGAAAACCAGGCTATTTTCCCATACAGCCTCAAGAAAGTTACCTTCAATCCAAGGACTGTTCAGCAGCTAATACTACATCTGCATTCTGTCACATAAAAATGGCCATCTGTACCACATCAGTACCTTAATTCTTGCTTGCAGCTGTGAAGTTAACTGTTCTCTCTTTTGCTTTTTTCACCTTTTACACCTTTGAATCTCATTGTATTTCCCAGAGCCTGCAGTCTGGGCATTTCTCCAGATGAATTCACCTGCTTTAAATTGTCTAAGCCTTAATAAAAAGGGCCTGCAGACATGCTTGCTCCAAGTGTATAACCATTTAAGGGTGGTAATGAATTGGACAGAAGCCTAGGATCATGCAGATCTTTCTTTATAATTCAGTACTAATTAAAAACATACTCTTGCTCATTCCTGAGCTGCATTACTTCTATCCCCTGATTTCTCCAGCTCCAACCAGTTCTCTCATGGAATATTTTCTTTTGTTCTGGATGTAGGTATATTTTACTTGTGGTCATATGAAGCATTATAAATGAAAATTTCCGTATTCCCACTGAAAGCCCACCAGAGGGCTCGGGCTTCATGTCTATGAGCTACAGTTCTTCTCACATCCTGGCACAATCCACATGATGCTCCTGATCCAGAGAGGACGGCAAATGAAAAGAATGAGGAGCTCTGGATAGCCATCACTGCTAGCTTCTTTTCCCCCTCTTGGCCTCTCTTTCTCTTGACAAAATTTGAATATCTTGAGGCACTACAAGAGCTGTTCCACAAATTACAAAATTCCTACCCAAGGCTGCCCTCTGCATAGGAAATTACAAAAATCATGTGTGAGAGCCACCACAAGCACAAAGAAATATCTCACCCAGCATATCAATTAGAAAAACTCTGCCTGTTGCAGTCTCCCACGTATGGGATGCAAAACGCATGTGTGCGATCATCAATCATCACTTAAAAGTAAGGTTCATGTATAAAATGTTTAAATGTCTGAAGTGTGGTAATCATTTAAAAGGAAATGTTTAAATTGGCTTTGAGTAAATAGGATATCATTAGTTGTACTTGTGGGGGGAGTGGAAAGATAGTTAATATTGTTACAGAAAAGAGTGACGACCTGACAAAGTTTAGAAATTATGCGTATGTGCAGAGTCAGAGAGGGACTCTTTAGTTTGATGAACTGTTTATCAAACTAGAATGTTTCCTCCCATTCCGATAATACTAGAACTTGGGGGGGGGGGTCACCTAATAAAAATTGATTGGTAGTAGGTTCAGGACAGCCAAAGAGAATATTTCTTCATACAGTACCAATTATTATAAGGATTTTGCTGCCACAAAATGTGGCAATACCTACTTGTTTAAATGTCTTTGAAAGGGAATAAAATAAATTAGCAGACAATAGATCTGATAAGGGCAACTGGTCATGATGAGTAAACAGAACGTCTTTGTCACTGCAGGCAGCAGTAATGTCTTGCTTGTGGGTTTCCTTTGAGGCATCTTGTTGGCTGCTGTGATAAACAGGATGCAGGTAGGTGGTCATTTGGTCACACCTAGAAGGGCTTTTATTATATTACAGACTATTTATATTATATTTTTAACAGACCATGTCGATGAGCTGCTGCAATGAAACCACAGATCATAACAGCAGCATGCTCAACCCGACACATCACAGCAACAGCAGCATCATTATCTCAAGTGTAACAGAGCTATTCTTTCTCCCTTGGACAGTACAGGTTTGAGACGAAACACAGGAGCCAGCAACTTCTCCTTAGTTTTATGGGCTGTTTATCAAATTAGAAGTTAAGAATATACTTCTATAACACTTATACTAACAAACGCTTTTAATGAGAAGTTTTGTTTAAAGCCTGGTGAACATTTTGCATTCAAACAGTTTCCCCCCATTCATTAAAGTGTCTCCATAGAGAAAATTATCCGATATTATACTAGACCAAGGCAGGGAAAGCAGCACAGTATAGCCTGATCCTGTCACAGTACATTGTAAGGTTGTAAGCTACTTACAAAAAACGGAATTAATGGCTAGTCTTTTAATATAAAGTATTGTAAAGTTAGGATAAATGCTTCTCTTGAATGGTGTCCTGGCATTTCTTAAGTTGCACATTGCTTGAGTTATTCCATTTATAAAACATTTCAATCCACATACATCCCGTTAATTGCACTGCTTGAGAAACTTCAAGAATATAAGGTAGAACAGTCCAAATGACTTATTTAAAATTAAATCTCACTGGTGGGATGAAATTTCAGCTTCATTTTTTTAGTATAATTACCTCCTCCGGACCTTCCATATTCTTGGAAGAAGACCATTATAGTTCCTATATTTTAAAAAGGGAATCATTCTGATCCAGAATGTTATCACCCAATTAATCTGCTTTCTTGTTTAGGGAAATTATAGTCTTCTAATTTGTCAAATTTTTAATTGGATTGGATGGAGTCTTGCAATATTTTAGGGTGGAAGCCAATCAGTTTGATTCTTTCCATCTAGCTGAGAAATATATTCACTTCCCCCCCAGGTGTTCTTTATGCAGGATTTATACATCTCAGAGGAGCATTTGACAGTATTCCCAGAAACAGACTCTGGAATAAATTAAGGAAATCCATTATGGATAGGAGATTACTGTGGTTGACTGAGATGTCCATGCCAGCCAGAACACACGGGTCTGCTGTACTATCGAGGGCAACTTGTCTAAAAGCTTCCCAATTGACAAGGGAGTTCAGCAAGGATGTTTATTAGTCCCCTTTTTGTTTAATTTATATTTAAATTATTTGTCCAGTTTTCTCTAGTAAAAACTCACCCTCACTCTGATTAAACGCAGATGACACAGTTTTGTTATCTTGTTTCTTTGTTGGGCTCCAGAGGTTATTAAACAAGTTTACCATTTACTGCCACTCTGAAGGTTTCGAAATTAAAGTATTACTATTTTACTATATGTCACATACAGTAAAATACCAGTGGTCTATTAATGGTATTCAGATTCGACAAGTGAAAGAGTTTATGTATCTTGAGATACTTTTTTCTCACCATCTGAATTGGTTGTTTCATCAAAAGGCTATGTTGAAGGCTAGACCTTGTATCTAAGGCATATTAATTTTTTTCAGGTATTGCAGGAGGCATTATATTCCTGGGGTGATCCAAGTTTTTAATATGAAAATTATTCCTGTTTTGCTTTTTGGGGTGGTCATTTGGATTCAATTGGTAAATGAATCTTTCAATCTTCCTTTTACCTGTTTTCTTCATAAATTGGATAATGTTTCTAAATGTTCAGGTGGGTAGCCGTGTTGGTTCTGAAGCAGCAGAACAAATTTGAGTCCAGTGGCACCTTGAAGACCAACAAGGCTTTCTTTCATGTGCAAAGCACACTTCTTCAGATAAATTGGAATAAAATCTCCTCAAGGGCTACTTACAGGAAAAAGAGGGCGCCCCCACCCTCAAAGAGATTTTATTCCATTTGTCTGAAGAAGTGTGCTTTGCACACAAAAGCTTACACTTGAATAACACTTTGTTGGTCAAAGGTGCCATTGAACTCAAACTCTGTTCTTTTCCTAAATGTGTAGCTGGAGTTTGGTTATGTGCCAAACTTGTTCAACTTTCCTTGGAGGCTAGAACTTGGCAATTGGCTTTCCATTTCTATTTTAAAGTGTTTTTTAGTTATTCGGGATATTTAGCTCTGATAAAAGCAGACTCTTTCAAATCCTCCTGGTTTAAAATGCTTGACTCAAAGCTTCCTCTCTTTAGTTTAACTTTTCATAGGATTCAGGAATTTGATCCTACAGGTGTAAAATTCTTTATTAGGAAACATACCCAAAGATGGATTATTCGGGTACATGTTCTTGTGCCCACAGGGTTTGTTCTTCCCTATTTTTTCAAATCCCATCAAGCTAGATCATTGCCTTCTTACACCTTCTATTTATCTACCCCAAATTATTTGATTGAAAGAGCTTTAATCAGACAAAAGGAAAGGAAAGGAAAGGAAAGGAAAGGAAAGGAAAGGAAAGGAAAGGAAAGGAAAGGAAAGGAAAGGAAAGGAAAGGAAAGGAAAGGAAAGGAAAGGAAAGGAAAGGAAAGGAAAGGAAAGGAAAGGAAAGGAAAGGAAAGGAAAGGAAAGGAAAGGAAAGGAAAGGAAAGGAAAGGAAAGGAAAGGAAAGGAAAGGAAAGGAAAGGAAAGGAAAGGAAAGGAGCCACAGGCTCTTCCACTTGAGCCACCATTTTCCAATTAATTCTACTTTGCATATTGGGCAATTTTACAGAATATTTTATGTGTCACTGTTAGTATTTTCAAGCTTTAGGGATTTCCACTCTTTAGGTCTAGGTAGGCCTTTTTCTTCACCTTTCAGAAGCCTACTCTCTCTACTGTAAGGCATAGTGCCTTGTGGGTATTGTAATATTTGATGTCATTCGTAGGGCTCCTACAGTTTTAAGATTGGGATTACATTGATTTTATGCATTTATTTCATTTCATATGACTATACACTACTATGCTATTTCTGTACCTATTTTAATTGATGTGATTGTATGTTGTTGTAAGTCACTGTGAGCTCATAACTGAACAGAATTGGTACAAAAATTGAAATAAATCATATTATATGATAGAGATTTTGTTGTATTGCCAAAACAAGATTACTTATCTGAGAATTAAGGTAATTGTTAAACTAGATTATTGTCATTTGAACTTTATTATAATGGGGCCCCAAGGAAAAAAATCAAGTTCTTACATGGGTAAACATGCACACATACCATTTCTTCTCCATCAAACTGCTCATTGTACTGTCCAGAATCCTCTTGTGCTGCCTTCTGAATGATATTTCTGCAGACCAGCCATATCGTCAGACTGGCAATGAACATACCAATATCAGGAACAAAAATTCTAATGGCATTGCCAGCATCTGCCCCTTTAACACTGAAAGAAATTAAAAGAGAGAAAATCAATGTAACTTTTCATTCCAATATACAAGTCTAGTGTGACAGTATTTTTAATAGAAGGAATAGCTTAAACAATAAGTATTTGTGCTTGTTCTCTGGAAGTCTAACATTAAAATGGTGGCTGAGCCACATGGACTTTCTGCAAATCACTCAACTTAAGAATCGCTTGGGATCGATCCATTTGGAGGACAGAATGCAATCTGCACAGGACAGGCCCTAAAAAACTGCCAAGATCACAACTAGTGTGCAGGATTAAATTAGAGAATCACAAAGAGAAAACAATGTAATTTTGCAAGGAAAGGTAGGAAATTAGTGTTACTATCCAGCTGCACTAGGGCATTGGTGAAAATACCCCCACATTTTAAAAAATTTAGTGGCACAAGCTTCTGACAAAGGACTCCTCCCCCATACAAATTGCAGCCCTGTGCAAAGCCTGGTGGAGTTGCAATCGACTTTGCACAGGCATGTGCACGCAGACACACACATACTCACTGCCAACAATCACAGCTTGCAATGCCAATTTCAATGGGTTCTACCATGCATTCTGTAACTCAGCATGTCCCCCAATATTATGAGATCACGTGATTCTTTCCCATTTTTCACAGTGGCTGATAACACAGCAGAGAATCCCCTAGTGCTCGGCAATATGGAAAATGGGGTTCTGCAGCTGTTTATAAGTTTTTTCAAAAAAAACACCCCATTCTGGTCAGTATCAGTTTTTTTCAGGTGTTTTTTTCTGCTGGTTAAACATTGGGCTACTTATATGATGATCTTATAATGGCTGACTCAAAAATATTCAGGATTTTTCAGGAACGCTGGATAGCCGCAGTTAAAGGGCATTTAAAGGGCTCTCAGGAGCTGTGGTGGCTCAAGTGGTTAAGACGCTGAACTGCAGGCTGTGGAAGGTCAGTAGTTCAGCAGTTTGAGACCCGAGTTGCCACATGACGGAGTGAGCTCCCGTCTCTAGTTCCAGCTCCTGCCAACCTAGCAGTTCAAAAGCAAGAAATTGCAAGTAGATAAATAGGTATTGATTCGGTGGGAAGGTAACAGCGTTCCGTGCGCCTTGGTGTTTAGTCATGGCGGCCACATGACCACGGAAACGTCTTCGGACAGCGCAGGCTCTTCGGCTTTGAAACGGAGATGAGCACCGCAACCCTAGAGTCGGACTTGACTGGCTTTCGAGCAAGGGAACCTTTACCTTTAAAGGGCTCTCAGTTCCTTTTTCAATGCCTTCGGAGTATACTCTCAGCTTGGAGAAGGCTTTTAAAGGGACTGTTCACTTGCTGCAGAGTAGTGTGTCTTGGAGAAGGCATCTAAAGGGACCCTCCACTGGAAACAATGGAGGATGGGGGCACCTTCTTCTGGGGCCCACAGAATTTGATCTCCTGGTCCAATCTTTTTGAAACTTGGGGGGGGAGGTTGAGGAGAAGCAGCAACAGCTATGCTGCAAATTTGGTGCATCTACCTAAAAAAAACAGGGGGGGCAGAGCCTCAGATACCCCTGGATCAATTCTCACAGAATTTGATCTCCTGGTCCAATCTTTTTGAAACTTGGGGGGGGAGGTTGAGGAGAAGCAGCAACAGCTATGCTGCAAATTTGGTGCATCTACCATAAAAAAACAGGGGGGGCAGAGCCTCAGATACCCCTGGATCAATTCTCCATTAGAGCCTATGGGGATAACATTCTGTGTCACACAGTGGACAGAAATACCAGGTGCCATCAGGAGGTCCACCAGTGGGGCCAGGACATTAGAAGCCCTCCCAAGCACCAAGAAGACAGAGCATCACTTGCCCCAGAGTCCCTATCTATACCTTGTGGCTAATAGCCACTGATGGACCTCTGCTCCATATCTATATATCTAATACCGAAAGGCGCCCCCTGTGTGCGGATACCTAAATCCGCGCATCGGGGGCACCTGGGGGAGAGGGAGATGTTTGTGCACACTTGGGACGGTCCCCAGGTGTGCACAAAAATCTAAAAACTCCAAAAAAAAATCGGGGGGATACTTAAATCCCCCCAAAAGTGCAAGAGCGTCCCCTGCGCATGCGCAGGGAACGCTCTGCAGACGGTCTCGCTGCCGCCGCTTCCGAGCCAGCGGGCCTCGCTTCAGAGAGGGGGGGGAGAGACGAGCGAGGCCCAGCAACTGCAGCCACCGGGCCTCGCTTTGGACGGGGGGGAATAGACGAGTGAGGCCCGGCGACTGCAGCCGCTGGGGCTTGCTTTGGACGGGGGGGAAGAGACGAGCGAGGCCCAGCGGCTGGAGCCGCCGGGGCTCGTTTTGGACGGGGGGGAATAGACGAGTGAGGCCCGGCGACTGCAGCCGCCGGGGCTCGCTTCGGATGGGGGGGAAACAGACGGCCGAGGCCAGGTGACTGCAGCCACCGGGGCTCGCTTCGGATGGGGGGGAGTAGACGACCGAGGCCCGGTGACTGCAGCCGCCAGGGCTTGCTTCGGCCGGGGGGGGACAGACGACCGAGGCCCGGTGACTGCAAG